TCCACCACCAGTGCCTCCTCTTTCTCGATCTGGATGATGACTACGGCGGAGGTTCCGATGGCGGCGATGTGGCCTTCCCCCTCGTCGGCTGCGCGTCCACCTCGTGGTGAGCACGCCGCCGTCGAGCGGTTTGGCTGCGGTTACCCCCTTCTCCTTTTTTGGTGAGCCCTTGGGCTAACTCCGGTGGTTCTCCTTCCGGACGTCTCGGCGTGTCGATGCCCGTCTAGATCGAGAGGAACGGCGCGGCCTTGCGGCAGCGCTACTTTGTCAGCAAGGCCCGAGGCCCTACTCCGGTATGCTCTTTTTTTTCTCTGCCCTTCTAGGGTTCTTGAGGGAGAAGGGGGCAAAGATTCGCTTTTGTTCTACCGAAAAAACGAAAACCAAAACGGCTCTGAAACCATTGTTATAACCCTCTGGATCGGATCGGCCTGCGATTTTCGGTAGTAGTGATAGGTATTACCTTCTCCTTAGTGTGATGAGCTACCGCCGGTGGCCATGGTGGGATGGTGACGGCGGCAATGAGTGGACAGAGAGATAGCGGTGGCGGTGCTTCCCGTCAGCACCGCACTAACCCTTGATCGGTAGGGGATGTAGGTGGGGTGTACGGCGTCGCGACGAACCTCGTGTTCAAGCCGCCAGCCCCCACCTCTTTATATATGTGCAGGTGACAGTGGGCCGTCAACCATAGTGAGTTGAGCGCCCCCGATCAGGGCGCGGATCTAAGGGCCCGATGGGCCGTTGGGCCCACACGATGGAGATCATCCTAACAGAAATATGAGGACCTACAATGAACACAACTGGTCACTGTCCAGGCTTGTCCGCGGGCGACTGAGGGTCCTAATTAGGAGTACAACGTAGCTGTAGATGCTCTAAGTCATTCCGGGTGGGAGGCTCAGGCACTCAGCTAGGTAAGGCCAACAGTCAGACGGGTTTATAGGGGCCATTAGATTTCGAGAAGGCCAATTTGGCTCCCAGGCTCAGCTGCACCCGCGCCGACGAAAAAAATCGAAACAAATACTAGAAAAATTCAAAAAAAATCCAAAAAAGGTTTGTGTGTAGATAATTCGATGCATGAGGTCCGCTGCAAATTTCAACCCGTTTGGACATTTGAGCATCTCTCGACAAAAAAGACAAAATCAGAATCTGTAAAAAAGTTTATTGTTCACAAACTGTTTTGATCCGATTTGTCTTTTTTGCCGAGAGCTGCTCAAACGTCCAAATGAGTTGAAATTTGCAGCGGACCTCACGCATCAAATTATCTACTACACACACAAAATTGGATTTTTTTGAATTTTTCTAGTATTTATTTCGAATTTTTTTTCTGAGCGGGAGCATCTGAGCCCGGGCTCAGACGCAGATTTTCGATTAGATTCCACGCTTTTTTCGTACTACACTTGGGTTGATACTACTCTTTGCCCGATCGTATCCATGCCACACAATTTTTCTGTCAAGATCCGTGCAGAAAATCAACCAAAAACCAAAATGCAAAGGGTAGAATTAGTTTGTTTCTCTACACAGATCACGGAGCGCAACTACCACCTATAGCTATAAACAGCATAAACCATAGCTATATTACATACCACAAGTTATCATATACTCCCTCTGTACAGAAATATAGATCGCGGAAGCATTTCTAGTACGACTTTCAACACGTTACGCATTTTTTCAACTTTCCAAAATTGCTCTCGCTTCGCCGCTCCTTCCACTCCCGTTCCCCACTCGCTTCCCTCTCTTTCCCAACTACCACCTCGCTCTCGCGTAGAGACATGGCGCCTGGCACCACCCTCTCCCCGTCACCGTTGTGTCGATGTGGCTCTCCGCCGGCAGCATGCGGCAGCGCCCTCTTGCTCCCTGTGGTCGCCTTGTGATAAGCGCAATTCATATACATCTTTTGGCACTCAAAAAATATGTGGTTTATTGTGATCTGACCATCAATTCTTGCTCTGAATTGTTGCATATTTACATGATAATCATATAAAGAATCATTTACTAGTCATTTGTTTCTTTTGCAGAAAAGTGCTCAAAGGCGTTATAAACTTCAAGATTCGGACTAAGTAGCTAAGAGAACTAGTCAAGTGTCAAGAATAGAAGGAAGAATGGACTTGTGTGTGACGAAAAGAAGTAACCAGAGGGGCAAGTTAAAGAAGAGAGGGACCTTCTTGTGAAGAAAGAAGAAAAGAAAAAGGGCCAAAGAGCAAAAGTGGCAGATCAGATTGGGGATCAAAATCCCTAACGGCAGCCTAATTTTCCTCAGGCCTGGCACTAACCCCTTCTCCCTCTCATTTGTCAAAAAAAAACCTTCTCCCTCTCACTTCCTTCACCTCCGGCCACCGCCACGGGCAGGCCGGCGTGGCGGCGCGCTACCAGCACCTCCACCACCATCCAGCGCCACCACTTCCTCCATCACTTGGTCCGGCATGGAAACACCTTGTAGCGATGGTGACAAGGACCGCTTTGCGTCTTTTACGATGGTGACCATTGGTGATGGTAAAAAAGCTAAATTCTGGGAATCTTCATGGCTTCATGGTCTCCGACCCAGAGATGTCGCGCCCAAGATCTTTGAGATATCTAAAAAGGAGTGCCTGGTCAGCAAGGCCCTGGACAACAACTTCTGGATCAGGCAGATCGATACTAGTAAGGGCCTCACCTTGACCTATATCCAGGAGTTCGCTGCCCTTTGGGAGATGCTCCATGATGTTACTCTCAACTCAGACACGAAGGACACAATATCTTGGAAATTCACTTCCAGTGGTGAATATTCGGCGGCCACAGCTTACAAGGCACAGTTCACGGGGCAAGTTCTCAGTTCAACCTCTACCACAATCTGGAAGGCTTGGGCTCCGCCTAAGTGCAAATTATTTGCTTGGTTGATCGTTCAAAACCGAGTGTGGACGGCCGATCGTTTGCAGCGACGAGTATGGCCAAACTGCGTCCTTTGCCCCCTATGTAAGCAGGTTCGGGAGCCCGCTGCTCATCTCCTATTCCAGTGTAGATTCACCGTCCGCATTTGGAATGAGGTCGTCGCTTGGCTAGGCATGCACGATCAATCACCGATGACTTGGCGACATGAGGTGTCTGTTCATGATTGGTGGCTAAACTCAGGCGGCTACATCAAGAAGGCGATAGTCTCCATGATGATGCTTGTCTCGTGGAAATTTGGAAGGAGCGAAACGCTAGAGTTTTCCGCAACACGGTTACCCCGACTTCCGTTGTTGTTGCCAAGATCAAAGAGGAAGCCCATCTTTGGGCGCTGGCTGGAGTCAGGCATCTGAGTACTCTAATGTTTCGAGAGTAGTCTTTTTCTTTTTGCCGCTCTACGGCTTATGTCTAGACCTCTCCTTAATTAATGAAAATGGCAAGTCTTTTGCCTCGTTTCAAAAAAAAAAACTTCCTCACCATCCAGCGCCACACACCACCATCACCACTTCGCGCGCCCTACCAGCTTGACATGATAAAAAGGATTTGAACGTTTTTGAGTCGCTTTTCTTTCACTTAAATACAAAAATTGCTCTAGCTCCGACACGATACAGCATTTATCTCCAGCACAAGATCAGATAATCAGAGGTAAGCAGCGAGGTAGCAGTAGAGGCTGAACAAAAATTTCATTGTGGCAACATTGCTAAGAGATCTTCTTTGTGCTGCATATAGTAATATACCAAAATTCCGAGTATAATAGCTAGTACCATGGACCAGAGGCTTATACCTGTCAGAAAACATGCAGCCATTTTCAGAATACTCACAAAATTGGCAAGTACACAATAAGTCGAGAACTCAAGATCTGCAACCAACATACCATCGCTCTTGGGTGATTCAGTCGATGTCACCCTTGTAGTTGAGTCAAAGGAAGTCGACAGCAAGGCCCTGTTATATGATAGAACAACAACAATGAGAGATTGCATTTGTGGAATTCATCAACTAAAGCAGAACGAGAGCACAGGTACTGACCTTGAATCTTGAGAAAACGCTAATGTAGTAACAATGCCAAGATGCGCCTTTTTAACTGTTAGAACCACTCGCATGTCTCTTGGACCTAGAACACTGATGCTTCCCTCAATAGTTCCACTGGATATGCAAAGGCAAGTAAATTAGACATGAAAAAAAAACAGTAATGTTAATGTTAAATTCATAGTTCCTTGCTCACATTGCTAGAAGTGTACCATCAGGCGAGACTGAAAAAGCTGAAATCGCATCACGGGTTACTTTCTTTGATCCAATTCTTGTCCATGAGGTTGTATTCCAAGATATTATTTTGCCGTAATCACCTAAGAAGCAGGGTATTGTAACTGTCAGGTCTGAGGTTTACCAGGCAATTCCGTTCATTTTTAGAGAGAACTTCAAAATATTTCATTCATAACAGGGTGAATTCAAATCATGATGTCACCTTGCATTGCTGTAACAAAGAGAATCTGACTATTGTCAGACTTAGTAGAAAATCGGCAGAAGCCAAATATTTCTCCCTGGAAATGTATGAGTCAGAAGTGCACTTTAAACAAAGAAAATAAACTAATGCAAATTGGCAAACAAAAAAATCACTCACTTGTTCTCTTGGCAGATTAGCCACAGCTTCAGATGACTTTAAATCCCAAACTCTAGATGGGCCACTGCTCCTGTTCACAACTAGGAACATCTCATCGGAACTAAATCATGTCCCAAAACAGAGGCAACCCATCAGTATCAAATAATAAATATCCATTTGGAAAGAGAAAGTTAAAGTGACACTATTTCACCTGAAACTAAGATCCTTAACAGATGTTTTAGCATCAGGTTCTTCAATAACGGTTTCCATGCCAGGCCATTTGAAGACCCTCAAATGTCCATCCTATACAGCACACAGAGATCTATTTAACATGCTTAAAATAATATATGGACAATTTTAACAGGCCATTTGAATGACAATTTTAACAGGCCATTTGAATGACAATTTTAACAGGACAATTTTAACAGGTTCTTCGATAACGGTTTCCATGCCAGGCCATTTGAATGACAGAAAACCCTAGAATAGCTTCAGATAAAATGAGAAGGCAAAAAAACATTGAATGGTTGCTTTGCTTGTAAGAATTTCCAGAAGATAATGAAGCAATAGACAATTTATTTTAAGCTAAATAATGTACAGCACTAGAATGTACAAATAAGAGCATCATGAGAATACTTAACTTTAAGTTGGTTTATCTGTATGCTTAACTGCAACCATTTGTTCACTTATTACAAAGACGCTAACTTTATGTTGTTGCCAAACATTTCCGTATTACACATAAACAATCTATGTCAGTTCAGTTGCCTAATCCTATGGCTCACACTAATTATGGTTGTGAATGTTGTAAAATGCTTTTTAGGTTCCTAGTGTGCGATGGTCAATATGCAAATTGTTGTTCACAATGACCATATGGTACATTGCTTTCTGCGCAAAGTCACCAGATATAAAAGAAATTGTTTCTATTAACACCTACAGCTATCAGATCTGCCAAAGCTACCACATGTCATGCTTTGAAGAGTCAAGCGTGGCCACCTCCATTACTACC